GGTTCATTTGAAGGAGCAACTAATATTCTTCAACCTGGTATTTTTTTAGATTTTATTTTTCATTCTTTTCGTCTGTTTTTTCGAATTTAAAAAATGTTAGCTGGCTGGAGCCTTCATCCCTTGTCTATTTCTTCCACTAGATACCAGCCGATACCCCCCCCCCCGCGCTCATAGGGAGTGCGTACAGTTGATCATAGTTCCTGGGCTCCCTGTACTATATTCAGAGAAGCTACGTACAGGGCGTAAAGGGCGGCAGTCGTCGTGCCGCGCCCTGTTCGATGTGGGACTCATAGCGACGTATACAACGCGTGTAAAATACATTGTTTATTTACATGAAATTCGAAATTCGCCGCGCATTAACGTCGTTCCTGTATAATCAAACACAATGCGGGTTTTTTGACGACAGTCTTTTTGAAATGCCTCGACATGAAATACACAAATACACACATTATGATAACTGAAGTATGACTGTATGATACAGGAGCGCAGCTTACCTCGTGTACCACGGTATTTTCGTATACCGATCTATCGTACACCCATCCATTGTCACATTCAAGTGTACCAGAATCCTGTGAACACAGTTCAGGTGATATACCCATCGAAACGTTGATGTCATATCGACTACACGAGTCCCACCCTTCGTCCTCGGCATCGTATGGAATCGTACAGTTTTTCAACGGAGATGTGTCATGGAATGTCTGGTTGTCATAAACCTTACAATAATGATCCGAGGACGCACTCAGAAAACTATTGCCAAGGTTGATGAATGCGCAAGGTATAACTGCCATACAGATCAAGAAATATTGAATCTTCTGAAAACAACCAAACTCGCCCAAAATATGCAATATCTCGTCAAAAATCATCTTATCTCACGTCGGTGTCACGTGTTATTGTGATGAGAATAGTTAAACGATCAGAGATGTTTCCACTTCTTTCACCGTGTCCAGAAGAAATACAAACTTTGCAAAAAGGGATGCAGTATGACCCACGTGGCCTCATACCGTAACAGCGTGTATTGAATAAATACATAAATTTCTCAAGACAGGTACTTAAATGATTTGAACTTTAAACAACAAATGTGATTTATATTAGAAGATAATTGTCAGGTGTCTCAGTGGTATTGTGATTGGTTAATCTAATAATCATTGTCAACCAATGGAACGCAGAATGATACTCAAAATTTAAAAAAAAATACATTTTTATTTTAGTCTGGAAGCTAAGGCCAAGAATTTGGAGTTTAGCTGCACCCCGTGTCATACATTGTGGGAACAGACTTTTTTATGCAAAATTTTCTGACTTATATATATATGTAATTAGCTAATCTGCATATTACTTAAATAGCATTGCGGTATTTACAGAACAGCGTGTCATCGAGTTTGGATTCTGTGACGTCGTGATGTCGGCAATCGTACAGGTGTGCAATGACTGACCATTTGAAGGGTTTGAATTAGACGTAGCGTGGTGTAAGAGTAAAATCATATATTACATATGATTAAATAATTACTGGCGCCATTTGGAAACGTGTTATATCAACTATGATTGGTTCTAGTTGATTACATAGCATTGGAAACAATATTATATTGAATTTAATGTACACATATACAAAGTTCATGCGCCACAGTATTTGCATAGCAGAACTTCAAATGTTGTTTAAATAAACAGTGAGTTTTAAATCACGTCATATTTTCATACAAGATATATCGACACGAACACGACCCGGCGTATTCATTCATTGTATGTCGACGAACTTTTGTGTGTGCTTTTAAGTCTCAAAAACACTCATAAATAATTTGTCTATCACGGCTTTACCATATAAGCGACACGTTTATAGTTGTTCACATCATCTTGAATATTATATGCAACAAATGCAGGTCAATGTTGTCAGTAAAAAGAACCATATACATTGAATTACGATTTGATATTTTTTACTACATGTACCGTGTTCACCGTGACACTAGAACAATGTGCGCCGGCTTATGCTGTACCAAGCATTTAAACGGCGGTGGTCGTCGTGCAGCGCGTGTTTAAATTTCATGTGAACAAGCAATGTATTTTACACGCGTTGTGTCCCATATCGAGCAGGACGCGGCGAAAATAGGCATTTTTTTGATTAACCGTATATTTCATATTGTTTTTTGTGTACTTTAATAATTCATCTCTTCGGCGAAATCAATCGCTAAATGTCATAAATTACTTATACACATGTTCAAACTTGGTTAGTTTTAGTGATATGCAATGTGATAACACATCACCCCAAATAAATCAATGACATTATTACATATTAAATTGCATCATTATTCAAGGTCGTTCGTCAGAGGTAAAACATCCATTTCGTAAACAATCTCGTAAAGTGAAGGGAAGTTTGGGCGATACCAAAAGTTCTAATACTGTTCAGTCTGCGTGACTGTCGAATATATCGGTTTAGCTAACACCTTCCTCAGTGCTTTCTCTGACCATTACTGTAAAAATGTACCACAACCAGACTTATCATGACGTATTGCCGTTGAAACGCTGCACTATACCATACAATACGCGATGGTATTAGTTAGTATTGGTGCATGGGGCATCCACTCGTTAAATATTTGAAATGAGTACACAGTGTTTGTTAGGCACACCGTTGATAAGTGGCAGTGCGATTACTCGGTATCAGAGGTATATATATTGCCCTCCCTCCCAGTTGTTAAAATATGGTTAGTACACTATCTCGTCTGGGTTGGGTAAAAACATACTTGCTTCTCGTCAATGCGCGTTAGTTGTTAACCTGTTCGCCAATTCCAAGCCAGTCAACTGCGCCACATACGGTATAATGGGGAAACATTTATTGCGTATTCTGATTTTAATAAGGCATATGTCGATCAATATCAATTTATTACACGTACACAAAACAAGTGTTTAATATAGAATCTTGTTCTTATATTGAGTAATTTCAACACCAAAATAAACAAAATGGGGTATTTAGTAAACACAAAATGCATATAGTTATATATTTGAAATTGTTCTATAGAAAGTGGAAGATGGTAGTTAATCGGCAAAAAGCCAAGGTATTTATTTGCCATAGTATGACCTATTATGTGATAAAGTTTTGTCAAATGGTTGGTGCACTGGTTTGTGGGCAAACATCAGATACATGTGTGTATACTCGAAGTCTCAGTTCTGTCATGTAGAATGTCTATCATTAATTTTTCGACAAATTTATCTGCAGTAGAAGTAAAATCTACAGAACAGCAACCATGTACATAATGGATTGTCTCTTTACAAAAAAAAAACATATTCTCATCAACGATTATATTGTGCACTTTTATTTAAACTCACATGACTAAACAAAGGAGTTAACTGCCCTTATGATAATGCATCCGCAACCGGCATACCATATAACTTGCTTCACTACTTCAAGATGCGAAAATGATGCTCGCATATTGGTCGAGTTGTATAGGCTCGGAATGAAATACTGTGATCAGCAACTTTGCAACTATGAGGCTGCTTTTCAAGACCATATTTTCAATCCAACAATCCAAAATAAGATTATTAGTTCTGTCAAGTATATGTGATGTTCAATGTTTAGCACATCCTGTTTGAAACGGAGGTTGCCCGCAAATAATCTCTATGAGTAAAATATACAATAAGTTTAGAATAGCCAATAACCTTGAATCTCGCCTCACCTGTAACAAAATAAGACATTCCAGTCCTGGCTCGGGTTATAGTTATGGTTCACAGGGTGCCCATAATCAGAAAGGAAAACACCATGACTTTATGTGGGTGTGAATGCACATTCACGGCAACAGATGTTCATGGTAGACACACATGCATTAAAACAAATCTCGCTCACACTGGTTTAAATTCCAACCTGATGAAAACCCATTCTTATTCCAATGACAAGCACTAATTATGAAATCCAGCCGTAGCTGCTTGAACTAAATACCGAGGCTTTAATGTGTTTATTGAAAGAATAGTATTGCTCAGAGGATGGGTATGTCGAAGAGACTCAGAGAAAGTTAGCTATCCCCCACATAAAGCACTATTGTGAATAATACTAGTATTATAATCCTAGAAAAATATTAAAATACAAGTCAGACAATGAAGGTTTGTCTAGATATGACAATTAAGCCTTCTCATTGGTTAAAACGAGATGATTACAAACCAACACGTCTCAACAAGTTTCTCGCAATTGCCGCTGATGGCATGGATTTCGGTATCTGCTCTGGCATGGCGTACACATACGTCATTGGCTGCATTGACCGTAAATACGTAAATGTTCGAAGTAAATACATGTAATAATGTAACACTGCGCATGATCAATTTCTTGTTCTCTCGTACATTTCCTGACTAGTTTCCCAAAGTGAGATGTTTTGATGTTACCAAGTGCCGAACATTACCTGCTTGCGAGTCATCTAGATATTTGTCAATTATAGAAACCATAAATATGATAATACGGTAATTAATTGTCAACAAAGTTTATGTATTCATCACATTTAGATCGAATATAAAGGTACATCAGAGCGTAAAATACATATTTGCCCAAATCAAATTATGATTGTGAATCCTTACAAATTAATGTACATTAAACAATCGCTCTATTGTTATAACAAATATGTGCCTTTCACAGGCTATAATGAAATAGACTACATGATATTCACTTCAAGACACCGAGCGTGCAATGTCATAATTACTTATGTAGCTTTTAAACTCTAAAATCTGGGTAAAGGTGTTTTACATGCCAGTATTCACATTTATACAATACAAACAGACATATATCTGCATGAATACTTTATAATCACTTTCTATTTTGCTATTTCAGCACCAACACTATGTTAGCATTTATATATTGTATTCCTGTTTTCATATTAACACAAGAAGATGTGACTCTAACTGATGCGTTAATTAATTCCTCTATATAAAAGTAGTGTCGATAATTATTTTCATAAAGACCTCAAGATGACTGTATCCATCACCAAGCAGGTTAAATAAGTATTTTTCAATTAAAATAAACATGCTAGACAAATGATAAGGAAGTTAAGAAATTATGTTGCGCAGTCACTTTAATTATCTTTTAAAGCTATATATTCTAACTACATTGAACTAATATAGTGTGTTTGTGAGATCCAATATTAATTTTAATATTAATTCTAAATAAACTTCGGGAAAATACCATCGGTTCACTTGATCGGTACTTGTACGTTGATGTATTTGTCTTTCATTTAAATAAGTCATATATATATATATATATATATATATATATATATATATATATATATATGACCCAGGTTCTTTGAACCTCAAATATATCCCCCCCTTTGTTAACACTAATTGAGTTTGTTTATATCCAGAAACCTTGTGTATTCATTAACAGGGCATTTGCCTAACTATTTCGGATTAGCGCCCTCACAGGTCAATTGCACTGTCTTGCTTGTGTGACCTTTCACCTCTCTATGATCTGTTGTTACTTAGGTAAGTTTTTTTGTATTGACTCAAAATATCCATCGTAATCCTATCATTTAATATTGCCATCCTTATTTAATTAATATCTTGTTTGAAACATGAGCA